CCAAACGTATTTCATCCAAATATGGCATAATCTAAGTTAACTATTTGATTCATCTTTATGCTAAATGTAATTAGATATCAATTCCCTCCAATTATTTGATTATATATGTTATTAAAGATTTTTTATGGTAGCGTATTTGCATTTAAGGTATCTAAATAGAAGTTTTTAAATTGTTTAATTATTTGATTTATTCTGGCAATTTAGGGCCTAAATAAGTACATTTTTGTTATTTTTCTTTTCATTCTTATTTTGATAGCATAAAATTAGATAGGATAGATAATTTGATACAATATGTTGAAATCTTGACTGATATTTCATACGTGTATAAGAAATTCACTCAAAATAGTCTAATATGAGAATGATTTTGCCTATTTAAAATTCAAAATTTGAATAAGTTTTTTCCTATAATTCACTTTAATTTGACCTAGGTAGCATGGTTATTTGAGTGAAGGAATTAAAGTTTTCAAAATGATGATAAATGAGGATTCAAGTTGAGATAATATCACGTGTGTACATTCTAAGGTTTTGTGCTAGTCTTAGAGATTTAAGACCAAGATAACCATTCATGATAACATGATGAGAAATGGTTGGATTAGATGCACATACAAGTAGTTCAATGTATGGTAAATGTGGTAAAAACCTAAATGTCTTTGAAAGTTGGATATGCAAAATATAATATCACGGGGAGCAATAATAGTTGTTTAATTCAAATATAGTATGTTGAGGAAGTCTTTTATATGTTTATGAAAAAGGAACTAGAGAACAATATGCCCAATGCATTTAGTTTTTCTATTTTATTGGATTCTACTACAAGGTTATTTATGTTATGGTCGGATGAATTAATGCATGCATTTATTTATAAATAATATGGGTTTAAGGACTATTTAGTTATTGAAAATATCTTAACATTATAAAGTGCCAACAATCAAACAACAAAAATAATGTTTTCTTACATGGTATATTAAGACATCATTACATGGAATGCAATTATATGTCTTATATGTTTGTATTCACATAGTAGGCTTGGCAAGGAAGCTTCGACCATGTTTTAAGACACGTTAATTACCCCAAATATATTAATCATATTGGTGGTTCTATTTACTTGTATCCACTAGAATCCAACACAAAAAATGGTTATACTATTTACACTAATTAATAATCATCATTGAGTATGGATTAAAGTATTAAACAAGTTTTTTTGGACTTCTGAGTAAAGTCAGTTGGCTTGATGAAACCAATAATTTTATAAAGTTTCCAATGGTTAAACATGATGTGGTTACATGTTGCAATATGAGGTCTACACTTGGTTCGATCCAATTCTCATTCAATTACAAGCTAACTCGGATATTAAATAAATTCCATTCCAATCTTTATGTTCATACATTGTAGCACCCGGAAAGGAGGAAAAAAAAAATAAAATAAAAAAAAACAAAAAAAAGGGGGGGGGGGGGGGGCCACGTCAGCAGCCACGTCAGCAGGCCCGGTCAGCAGTCCCGGCCAACCGAGGCCTGCCACGTGGCAAGACCGCGTCACTCCGAAAGGAGCCACGTTGGCGATCCGCGTGGGTGCGATCCGACGGCCCAGATCAATCGCGCGATCGGACGGCTCAGATTCAATCGCACGGACGGCCCAGATTCAATCAAAAACGAACGGCCCAGATTAAAACGAAATGAACGGCTGTGATCAAAAGGCAA